AAACCCACTAATTAAAAAATTCTTTGGAGTAGATAGTATTTCCTACCTCGCTTCCACTCCCCTGGATAAATAACACCTACGTGCTTACTGGGTATCCTCTCCAGCCTTTTCCTTTGCTTATTCATACGGAGCCTAAGGCTCCCCTTGGGGTACACTCCCATCTCAAAAATCCATACCCTTTCAATTCATTCTCCAGCAACATTTAACAAATACTAGAGGGAAAATGGATTTCTGAGCTCAGAAGCATACAAACCCATAGTTATGATTGCATAGAGGGAAACATATATGCACTGAATTTATTAGGACTGATGTACCTTGTTAAAATGTAGCTTTTTAAAATCATACACTCAAATATTCAAATGCCAGTTTTTAATGGAGGAAAGTAATTATAAGCATTATATTAATTATGCACTCAAATACTTCAGGTGGTTGATTTGATATGCAGTTTGGGTTACTTTACTTTCCTATAAATATTCAAAATAAAAAATAATTACCCTAGAAGTCTATAAAAGCTTTTATGAATTTAGCCTGTCCAGTGGAGGTATAGAGTTATCAGTATCCAGTGAGGACACTTGGATCATTAGCGTAGACCCCACTCCAACAATCAGGAGAACTGACTAATAAATCAGCTTTTTGAAACATATAGACAGAGAAGAACCATAAAGAACATTGTTGACTCATTCTGATCATCTCTAAATCTTTGTAGTCACAACATAGCACCCATGGGAATAGTAAACTTCAAAAGAAAAGAGTATTTATTGATTCTGCAAGTAAGATGAGTGGCTAATGTCTGTCCTTCTGTTAGGATGTAAGCTCCATGAGGATGGTTTTATGTTGTCTTTTTTCCTATTGTGTCCTTAGACTTTAGTAGCATTATACAGAGTAGATGATCAATACCAGTGGAAGGAAACAGGGATGGAAAGAGGTAGAAAGGGAGGGGAGAGGAAGGGAAAAAGGGAAAGAGAGATGGAGGGAGGAAGCCTCCCCATTTGGACCAGCTATGAAAACCAGACCATGTCAGACTACATTCAGGTACATAAGGTACATTTCTTGTGTGTGTGTGTGTGTGTGTGTGTGTGTGTGTGTCTGTGTGTGTGTGTCTGTGTGTGTCTGTGTGTGTTTTAATTTTATTGGATTACAGTTGATTTACAATGTTGTGTTAGTTTCAGGTGTACAGCAATGTGATTCAGTTATACATATACATATATTCATTCTTTTCAGATTCTTTTCTCATGTAGGTTATCACAAAACATTGAGTAGAGTTCCCTGTGCTATACAGTAGGTCCTTGTTGGTGGTTACTCACCCTCTTCATATTTTCTTTTAAAGATGAGGAAGAAAGAAATTTCTAACTCCCTGGAAGCATTCCTTCCTGGCCTGGCATCACCAGGGAGTTATGCTTGGTCTGCTCTTTGTAGGGAACCTCCCAAAAATTATTTTCAAAATTATAAAGTCAGCCACTTCATATTTTTTAAGCATCTGACCAAAGATCTCATTTATTTTTCCACTCTACGATGAACAGACTATCTCAGTTATGAAGTACTTAAAATACTAAAATTTTCCTTAGCAGAGCAAAAGTTCGGTTAAATTTCATATCTACCATACTTATTTTAGGAAGATAAGAATGTTCCCATCTAGATATTATTGAAACTACTTTGGTGAAAACTTTCCTCAATAATCTGAGCCACTTTCCTATAAATGTTATTTTGAAAAATATATGGCCATTTACAAAGCACTTTTAAATATATCTTCCGAACAATCATGGGAGAAAAGAGGAAATCCCATTCTACAGATTAGAAAATTGAGGCTGAGAAGTATTTAATAACATACTTAAAGTTACAGAGCTTGGAAGAGGAGGAACAGGTATATGAACTGTGATCTATCTGCTTCTTCCAATCAGCTAGCTGACTCAGAGAAAAAAGAATTTTTTTCTATTATTCGTATTTAATTCATAAACCAAGGCAAGCATCTTGCCATTAGCTCTCATTTTCTAATCTCTCACTAGGTTAATATAGAAAACACTAGCTCTGTAGGAATGGATTAAATTCTCACAGGAGAGATTCCTCAATGTGTTTAAAAACTACACGAACCATCAATACTCCTGCTTCAATTACCTAAGCATCTAAAAAGTCTTTTCTGTGTGTTTCAGAATGCACAGCTGTCAAACTGCTCCATCCATTTTATTTGTCTTGAAATTAGTATTTGTGTATCTTTCCATTGCTGATGCCTCCCCGTGACCTTCTAGACTGAAGTTGCCTTCAGAAGAGACAAAATATAAATGGAAGGCGTAGTGTTCAAAGGCAGGAAATGGCCAAAAGCAAAATCATTTGAAAACACACAACAAAAAGTAGCAGTTCGTGATTCTTAGAAAGTCAACTCGTTTCAAACATGAGGAACTTTTTTTCAAAATGACCAGGAGTAAGGCAACAAGTTCAGAGTGTTTGACTATCTTGAGGAAAAGGAATCTTTCTTAGTTATTCTTTCAAAGAATAACTTGGTCTCTGTGTAGTGTTTGGGATTTGGTCATTCTGATAGATGCGTAGTAATATCTCGTTGTCTCAATTTGCATTTCCCTGATGACATATAATGTTGAGCCTCTTTTCATACGCTTGTTTGTCATCTGTATATTTTCTTTGGTGAAGTGTCTGCTCAGATCTTTGGCCCATTTTTTAATCAGGTTGTTTGTGTTCTTATTGTTGAGGTTTAAGAGTTCTCTGTATGTTTCAGAAAACAATCCTTTAACAGATATGTATTTGCAAATATTTTTTCTGTCCTAATCTTCAATCTTTCAGCAGTGTCTTTTGAAGAGCAGAAGTTTTTAATTTAATGAAGTCCAGCTTATCAATGATTTCTTTCATAGACTGTGCCTTTGATGTTGTATCTAAAAAGTCATCACTATACTCAAGGTCATCTAGATTTTTTTCCATAGAGCTGAGGGATACCGGGATACCCCACCCCAAAGCATGCTTCTTTAGTATATGGATTATTTTGAGCTAAAGGCCACTGAAAACTATTAGATGCAAGAAAAGTTCTAAAAATTGGGCACAAGTTTTCCTTTTGTAAAGTAAATTTACATTTATAAAGAAAATTTCCGTTTGAGAAGCCTTCCTCTCCCTTACTAGGAGGAGGAGAACTCAAAAATTTTTTTTTTTTTTTTTTTTTTGATGAAGACACGAAAAGAGAAAAATCCACGTATTTCTTTGTGCCTTTCAATGGTATTGTCTGGGTCCATTCCAAGACTAAGACAACCACACCAGGCCAAGCAAACATGGACACAGAGTTATAATGCTCCTTTACGTGCTAAGTACACAGCAGCAATTTTATGTGGCCTTGAACTTTCATCAAATCTGTTTCCGGGTGCTGTCAATTCCACCTTTAAAAAGCACTACTGTACATGAGCAAAAATACACGACTCAAAATATGTAACTGGATTGCTTAGCGGAACAAGAGGTATCATTCCCGAAAAGCATAGTAAAAAGTCACAGAAAATCATATGTGATATTTAAATAGCTTATTAACTGTTAAGTAAATAGAACATCTATCTTGGAACTTCATGTTACATTAAGGTAAGGTTAACCTACCTTTGCCCACGCTCTTCCCTAGAAGGGATCAAGAGCAGAATAACTGAGGCAGAAGAACGGATAAGTGACCTGGAAGACAGAATGGTAGAATTCACTGCTGCAGAACAGAATAAAGAAAAAAGAAATGAAGACAGCCTAAGAGACCTCTGGGACAACATTAAACGCAACAACATTCTCATTATAGGGGTCCCAGAAGGAGAAGAGAGAGAGAAAGGACCAGAGAAAATATTTGAAGAGATCATAGTTGAAAACTTCCCTAACATGGGAAAGGAAATAGCCACCCAAGTCCAGGAAACACAGCGAGTCCCATACAGGATAAACCCAAGAAGAAACATGCCGAGACACATAGTAATCAAACTGGCAAAAATTAAAGACAAAGAAAAATTATTGAAAGCAGCAAGGGAAAAATGAAAAATAACATACAAGGGAACTCCCATAAAGTTAACAGCTGATTTCTCAGCAGAAACTCTACAAGCCAGAAGGGAGTGGCATGATATACTCAGCTCGATGAAAGGGAAGAAACTACAACCAAGATTACTGTACCCAGCAAGGATCTCATTCAGATTCGATGGAGAAGTCAAAAGCTTTACAGACAAGCAAAAGCTAAGAGAATTCAGCAGCACCAAACCAGCTCTACAACAAATGCTAAAGGAACTTCTCTAAGTGGGAAACAATTCTTATCAACGGAAAAATGGCACCTACTTAAATCTGCATAACAAACCTTGCTAAACAACCCTTGTTTCCCATACTTTTCCTGTTCACCTTCCCAGAACCTATCCTGCCCAGATGCCCAAAATGCCTTTTCTTTTGTTTTGCTCTAAGCTGATATATAAATCCAAGTTCTAACCATCCCTTTGAGCTTCTCATCTCTGGATATTCCTATGTGTAAACTCATGCAAATAAACTTCTGTTTTTTTCTTTTATTAATCTGTCTCTGGTCTTTCTCATTAATAGGAACTCAGCTAGAGAAGCTTAGATGGGTAGAAGAAAAGATTTTTTTCCTCCCCCGCAGGGTTTAATTTTGAGGACCTGCTTTCCAATGTTCCCGGTGACCAAAAATGAATCACGCAACTTCACTGAAACTCTTCATTTTAAAATGGGGAATATTATTTATATGCATGTGAGACTAAATGAGGTGATGAACATGAGGAGTCTGGTACATTAAAAAGTAAGAACTTTAATATTTAAGGGTTTTAAAGGCACCAAGAATATCATTATGTAACCATGCAGAAATCAGGAACCAACCCTAAAGAGACTTAATACCAAACTCATTTCCACTTCACCCTGTTTTCTGTGTGGCATGAGAAAATGCTAGCTGAAGCTAACTTGGGACTTGCAAACAGGGACCCCATCCTTAACAGCTGTGAGGCCTTGGGAAAGTAGAGTAATCTCTCATGCCTCAGTTTCCTTGTCTGTATGGG